CCTTTACAGGGGCGACCTCTCTATTAGAATCTTGAATGGTGTGAAAAGAGCGAGTTGCCTCAGTTTACTCTTATGCAATTCAAAACAGTAGAGGAGTGCTCTCCAATTAATTTTGTATCCCACTTAAAGAGTACGAAAAATTGTTTCAGTCTACTTTTCTGCAATTCAAAACAGTAGAGAACTGTTCTCCGATTAATCTTGTATCCCACTTAAAGAGTACGAAAAATTGTTTCAGTCTACTTTTATGCAATTCAAAACAGTAGAGAAGTGTTCTCCGATTAATTTTGCATGATATTCAAATAGCACAAGGAGTTGTCTCAGTTTCCTCTTATCAGGTTGCATAATGCTACGCAAAACAGTGGAAAAGTGTCCTCCTTAATTTTGCAATTAATGCAAAGAGTACGAAAGGTGTTCTCCGTTTTACCTTTGTGCAATGCGCAACTTAGGAGAACGCAAATTATAATCTTAAGACCGTTATGTTCTCGCATTGTATTTTTTTAAAGTATAAGCTGAAATTTTAATTCGCTTACAATTTAATTTTTGATACTTTATAATTTTTGGTGTTCTCTGAAAACTTTTTAAATTTCCAAAGTGTACTCCCCACATTGTGGGTATGTGGGGTAAGAAATTCCAGGTATGGTGACGGTGGGTTTCAGCCAAATTGTATTTGTAATCATAGCATTTGTTATTGAACAGTGATGGTCAGGCGTATCGTTTTCATTATGATTAGTAATGAAATTTCCAGTTTTAAAGAAGTTATTTATCCAACTTTTTTTGGCGCCGAGTCAGAAATTTTATATGTCATTTGTATCCCTTAGAGACACGTCGTATTGCGCATTAGAAAAAATTCTATTCGCATGCAAAGTCGTTGCGTCAAAACACTCTTAAATCCTGCGAGTATTTGATAATAATCGTATCCAGCAAAATCGATCTTGGGATGGTCCGTTGGTGGTTTTCGAGATCCGAGCCAAAATTTTCGAATTTTTTGCTAATGTTGGATTTTCACTCAGACTCGTCCAAATTTTGGTCAAGTATCACTGGAAATAATTTTGCACTACAATTTGGCCGCTGCCTAATAATGACACTTTACCTATTACTTTGATTATCTCTCTCGTATTTTATAATTTCACGTTATAAAATTGCTCGTGCATATTTACACCTCATGATAACCGAGCGTTTTAGAGCCCTAGAGTCTACGAATTTAGCATATCTGCTCAAATACCGCAATAATAATTGATACAAAAAGAGGTGGAAAGGGTTTTTGCATACTACTTGCATATTTGAAACTTCATTGTTGATATATTTAGAGTGTATAACTTCCGAGATGATTAGTATCATAAGTATTTGGACGTTATATGTATGCATGCTTCACAACCCTCTTGAAATACATATGTGGATAATTTATTTTCGGGATTAAACCGATACTGGGAAAATATTAAGGACAATTTTTGCACATTTAAGATTAATTGATACCTCTTTACAAAATTAATCATGACATATGTACATATTGGACGCATGGTTTCATTAAGTTTTCCATGTGTGCGTGACAACGAAAATAATATCTAGCCAACACGAAGCGATACAATAATTCTGAGCAGAAACCGACCACTTAAAGTTTGTATAAGTTGGAAGAAATTGGAAGAATTCTAAATTTAACGGACTAGGACTAGGGGTGATGTGGGAGAAATTGGTTAGGATTGGTTCGATGCTGAAGAAAACGGAATTTCGCCACGGAAAATATTTTGAGATGGTGCAAAGACATTTGGGAAAAGTGAAAGAGAAAATCCGATTCAATGAATCCACCTCAAGAGGGGAGCTTCGCCACTTGCCACTCACAGAATCCGATGCCCTTTGGATATGTTGTAGTACCCCATGAGTGTACTAAAACCCTGAAACGGTTTGACTCCATGGCCACATTTGCGCCCGCCACACCCACTCAAAGATGCGAAAAACACGAAAATCATCACCTTCAAAAATTCACCAAAAATCCAATTTTGATCGGATTTTCAAAAAAATTACATATTCTTCATCTCAGATACCTGCTTTATGATGTCCAATACCAAACTCAACTTTTTTGAAATTTTGATTTTTTCGAAGACATACCCATAGTCAGAAAATGTTCAAAAATATCCAAAAAATTAAAAAAATTCATTTTGGTGTCGGATATTATCAAACAACTATCTGGGATTACAAAAATGCTTAAATTGCGGAAATCCGATCAAAATTGGATTTTTGGTGAATTTTTGAAGGTGATGATTTTCGTGTTTTCCGCACCTTGGAGTGGGTGTGGCGGGCGCAAATGTGGCCATGGAGTCAAACCGTTTCAGGGTTTTAGTACACTCACGGGGTACTACAACATATCCAAAGGGCATCGGATTCTGTGAGTGGCAAGTGGTTAAGCTCCCCTCCTAAGTATTTAAGTATTCAGTACATACTTAAATTGTGTCATCCATGATACAGCCTAAGATACAACGTAACGAGTCATTATAATTTTTACAGCTGGAAATTCCAGCCTGGAATACTTAAATTATGAATGCTTCCTTAGTCACGCACCCCTTCGTGACAAGCACATCCACAACTCGACCTAACTTGCAGACAAACATTGTCCCATAGTTTATTCTCGGCTAGTAGGACTCTGAAGTCCAACCCAGGCGATACGAAAATCCCCAACTATTTTCGACTACCTGCCCCTAATTCGTACCCAACTCCTTTATCAGAACCTTTTCTTCTGTAATTTTGTAACCTGGTCGAGTAAATTAAAAAAAATTGTGCCAACACCTTGGAAAAACTTAAAGTACACGTTGCCCCTGGGCATGTTTGTAGTCCAGTACGTCGTCGTTCTTGCCCGAATGCTGTCACTGGTGTTCAACGTCCCAAAAAATAGTTTTCTCGTTCACATCATTTCCTGTTGCCTTTCCGTTACCAACATTGCCCACTGGACATTGGGTGTCGTGTGTAGAAGAAAAACGGACGAAATAGCGGCCTACTTCAACGGCATTCTCATAATAAATCCTGACCCTTTGAAGGCGCCACGACAGGCCAAACTCCACCTGAAGGATGTCATCTCTACAGGAAAATTCCCGTTCAGTGACGTTTCTCAAGGGGAACCAGTCCGGTTTACCCTCTGTTTTCTGATTTACGCACACTTCATAGCAACCATCATGATGGGCCTTTTGGCCGTTATGGTTCTTTGTACAATGCCTCATTTTCTGAGATCAACCTTCCCTGATTGTGCAGCAAATGGGGACGAGTTCGTGTGGGACTTTGGCGTTCATGTGAGCTTTAAATGGGTCGTGAGTTTGCTGGATATATGGGAAGCAGGGTTTGGAATCTATCTCTCATGTGCCGCGATTTGTCTGCCATTTTAATGTGGGGTCACATGCATTGCAGACCATTTAAAAAGGTTCAGCTAAAATAATAAGAGTTTCAGAATTTTTAACGACAAGCATTTCCTAAATTTGGAAAAAATTTAGAATAGGGGCGGGGCGATATGGGGTCATATGATACGCGGAAATGTCACATTCAAAAGTTCTGGCGGGTCAAAGTTTTTATTTTTTACTAGTCTTTAAGGGCCAAATATTTGCCCTAGGGGGGACCGTTGTGAGTGTCAGGTCACGTCTGAACTCTCAAGCCCATCGTTCCATGTGTTGGGAAAGATCATAGAGTGGAGGCAGGGTGAGACTATGTGGGGCAAGCTCAAAAACGCAGACAGACAAAGTTGTCGAGCCGATTCTATTAGGGACGAGCTTTTTAGCCCGCAAATTGCGAGCAGCACTTTTATAAGCCCGTCGTCTCAAGCTGCCTCGCGGGGTAGAGCGAGAGCGAGCCATAGAAATCTCAGTGAGGGAGTCAAAAAAGCAGACAGACACACACACACACAGAGTTGAACTGCCTACTCTTTTTATGATTGCATTTTTGGATGTTTCAGAGAATTCCAAGACTTTGGCTCACTTTCCCCCATGGCGGGAAATTTTTTGGGGTGAAATGAGATTTTTGGTTTTTATGGAAGAACTAGCCTATAAGCCCGTCTTAAAGACGGGCCCCATTTAAAATTGGACACTAAACTATGAAAATTATTAAATCATAGCGGTTCAAAGCAGTTTTGCTTAAGAAATGCTTTATAAAATACTCAAGTACACAATACAGCTAAAACTCTAAATTGAGAATAAATTCCTCTACAATCATATTTATTATATTATAGTTGCATGATGCTCTCCAGGGAAATCATGTAGTTCAAAGAATTTGTTTTTCAACTTGAGTAGAAATATTTTGACCTTACTACCTGGCAGAAATGCATTTAGTCATCTAAAAACCTTTCAGCTTCTGACTACTTGGCGGACAAAATTCACGCGGGTTAATTCCGCCAGTGAATCCTTATCCTTATGTAAAAATCATGAATCAAGACCGACAATACGAATCGAACTGTATATTGTAAATCTAATTAAGTTAACATTTTTTTTAGTTTTGACAATGAATATTTTTAACGTTGCTAAGGAATTTTTTAAAGTTGCTGAGGAATTTTTTCAACGTTGCTAAGGAATTTTTTTAATCTTGCTAAGGAATTTTTTTAACGTTGCTAAGGAATTTTTTTAACGTTGCTAAGGAATTTTTTAACGTTGCTAAGGAATATTTTTAACGTTGCTAAGGAATTTTTATAACGTTGCTAAGGAATATTTTTAACGTTGCTAAGGAATTTTTTTAACGTTGCGAAGGAATTTTTTTAACGTTGTTAAGGAATTTTTTCAACGTTGCTAAGGAATTTTTTTAACGTTGTTAAGGAATTTTTTCAACGTTGTTAAGGAACTTTTTAATGTTGATAAGAAATTTTTTAACGTTGCTGAGCGCTTTTTTAACGTTGCTAAGGAATTTTTTTAACGTTGCTAAAAACTTTTTTTAACGTTGCTAAGGAATTTTTTTTAACGTTGCTAAGGAATTTTTTAACGTTGCTAAGGACTTTTTTTTAATCTTGCTAATGAATTTTTTTAACGTTGCTAAGGACTATTTTTTAACGTTGATATGGAACTTTTTGAATGCTGCTAAGGATTTTTTTATCGTAACCATAACCTTAACCATAGCCAAATGTATAACCATAACCATAACCATAACCAGAATCATAACCATAACCATAACCATAACCATAACCATAACCGTAATCATAACCATAACTATAACCATAACCATAACCATAACTATAACCATAACCATAACCATAACTATAACCATAACCATAACCATAATGAAAAATCGAATCAGTCCCCTGATTGGTTGAGCTAGAATGCGAACAGCCAATCGGAATGCAGGAATGTCACGGAAAATTTTCACGGGACGGACTTTTCGAAATTATAATATAGATATTGAAATTCCATCACTATTTTGCAATATTTTAACAAACATAATTTTTTTCTTTTCAGAACGCGCTACTTTCTAAATTATAGCCGTACTATCAATCTGAAATTGAATATCATAGCAATTTTGCATACGGAGGGAATACCAGTGTGCCGTGCACCTTTGATTATTATGTGTAACCAACAAATTATTAATTAATTGCAACCACAAGTTATTATTTGGTTTGATTTGTGATTGTTTGAATTTCACTAAGCGTCATAAAATCAGGATTTTTAGTTGACGTCAAGAGTGGACGTCCCCTAGGAGGGTCGAGCTGCAGCTCGATCCAATTCCAATTGGATCATCAATGCCTCGAACCATTTCTCTCTTTCTCACTCTCTCAGCCAGAATTCACATCTGTAGTTTGTTTTGGTTTTGGGAAGAACACTTACTGCACAAGTGTCTGACAAAAAATATTGAGTTGATTGTAAAATATGAAATTAATATTCTAAATAAACTCCAAGTTTTAATAATTCTGGTAACTGCTTTTCTCGAGATCATGATGATGGAGGAGGCAGCTCAAGTAAGTTTTTAAATTAAACTGGATACTTCTTAAAATAACGAAATATGTAGTAAATAGCAGTGTTTCTGCTGTTAAATAACACCTGCACAAAATTATTTAGTGTACGAAAATGTTGTTAAACGCTTAATAACACCTACGATAAATTTGGAAAAGAGCATGAAAATGCACAAAAATCATTGAAGGGCAAATAATATTGTAACATTACAATTTTTCTAAATAATTGATTAATTAACAAGTCGTTGTGATATTTTATGACATCTACATCATCATCTTCGTATTTTAGTGTCAAACAATTTTCTCCTTTCATATAACATCTAAGAAATTTAATATATAGAAAATGGTGTTTCTGTAAAGGTTGTAAATCAGTAAGGTTTGAAATAACCGAGTTTCACCCCCAGTTGACATGGCAGGAAAATATCAAATGTCTTGAAAATATGAAATTCTTTGCATGAAGTGAATTTCATTCATTTTTATGCATTTTCGTGCATTTTCGTGCATTTTTATGCACCGTACATAAAAATAATTTCGCGCGCCCAATCAAGAGATAATATCTCTTGATTTCTGAGATAGTTTCATTTCGAATTTCATTTCGAATTTCATTTCGAAAATGCCCAGCTTAAAGCTGGGCATTTTATTGTTCCAAATTTCTGGCCGGGCATTGAAAAACTGTCGTCCAGCTACGCTCTGACACAGTGATTAATTAGCAAACATACATATTATCGAAATTTGCATTTTTTAGGGAGGAGATCCCATGTATGATTCCGATGATGAAACTGCTGACGTCCAGTCCGGATTAATTCTGATTCCCGACGTAAGATTGATTACGCTTAATTTTTTCGAATTACAAATAATAATAAAACTTTAAACTAACAATGGAGGTCTCCCAACGTATTCTCACGAATTTGAACCAAACTAGTAAAATCAATCGATTGCAAATATGATATTTGCACTATCTCCCAATGGGCATGTTTGGCGGAGATTGGAGAAACCCGCAGCAAACTTGGAAACCTGTAAAATTTGTCCATATTATTACTGCCCACGTTTTCCCCTTTTAGGATGCAAATATTTGCAAATTTCATATTGATCTATTTTATGATCGATTGATATTAAATAGTTTGACCCAAATCCATGAGCATACGTTGGTCGACCTCCATTCTAAGTTCACACTATTTTTCTCCAGGTAATTTCTCATGTTTGCAAATTCCTTGGGATCTCAGACATCAAGAAGTGTCGACTAATCTGCAAATCGTGGAATGATGGGGCTACCACTGTTCTTAAAGTTAGGTCAATAATTGCCATTCAACTCCATGCTGAAAATTATACAGAAGGCGACCCATTCAAAGGAGAAGAAGAAGACAAATTGAAATTTGGCCCGGTCAATCTTCACATCAAGATTTCATACAAATACAGCCCCGAGGAGTATACGATACCCCGCATCGATCCCAAAATCTACGACGCGGTGGGAAAACTAAAATATTTCTTTGTCCAGTTTATTACCGAACATGAGTTACAGTGGCAGAAGGACTTTTGTCGAAAAATCGTTCTCAAGTCGGCCCCCATCCTGGAAAAATTAAAGTTTCAGTGGGACACGTATCATGATTTTCCGGCCCTGCGTCCCCTCGTTTTTCCGAAGCTGAAGGAACTCGTGATATTTTATGGACGCCTGGCCAGATTTAAATCCAGCGAGAGGATGGGTCACTCTATTACGGAAGCTTTCCCGGCTTTGGAACATCTTGAAATTGATACCCGCAATTTATATGAACTTTCAAAGATTGAAATGTTGCCGAGATTTCCTTTGTAAGTTTTGCTTTACAAGCCAGAGATTCGACATTTCTGTGTTCCAAGAATATTTACACTCTAAGCAAAAATTAAGCAAAAAAGAGGATGACACAACCGTTGGTTAGAAAATTTACCTAGAAAATTTACCCCAGCATTGTGTGAAGTTTATCCAAGTTGTGGAAAATTTATCCAACCGTTGCACAAAAATTCTCCCCAACTGGTTGTGTCATCCTCTTTTTTACTCAACCTTGGGGAAATTTTAGTTATTTTTATTTAGAATGTACTATTTAATTATTTCCTAATTTACAGATCACTTAGTTCCTTGAAATTAAGCGGGAACCTGGGCGCTGAAGGGTTGGAATCCCTGCTGAAAATTCCTGGCGCTTTAAAGAGACTTGTATTTGGTCCAATTTCTCTCGTAACCATGGTCCAAACTGCACACGAGCTGCCACCAATTTTGCACAGATTTTTACAAAAACATTCCTTAACTCTTGAAACACTTGAAATTGTCCTGTCCTGGGAGTATGACGATCCCAGCGATGAAAGTGACCATAGACAGCCCACGCTTCAATGGCAATTCCCAGTATTTCCGGTTTTGAAAAGTCTTGAAATTTGTACGAGTTATGTTTGCCGAACTAGAATTTGAAACTGGCATCGGGTCCGGAGTGTTTGGAGGGATTGATTACAAAGTGTGTCTTCCTGCCTTGGAGAATTTACATGTGAGCACAAACTCCAATGATTTTTGCTATTTGGCTGCCCTCCTTCCGTCAGAAGGTCGTCGGGACGTTGTTGTTGAGTCGGTGAAAAAAGTTGAAATCAAGGTTTTGGGATGGTTGGAAGAGCCAAATGATTTTGAAGTAGGTCGAGCCGCGCTTTGTACACGATTGGCGGAGATTTTTCCGAACGCGAGGGATTCGGTAATTAGTTTTTGCATAAAATTGTAAATGTACTCTTGAGGTTGAGGAGTGGCATGGAATTTGTCCAAAATTTGGGATTTGCACGAAACTAGGCCACTTTCAGTCTCAAATTCCCCACTCAGTATGCTCGTAATTATTTAAGTTAACTGAAGGGGAGATTTGAGACTGAAAGTGGCCTACTTTCGTTCCCACATCTCTCAAATTTTGGACAACTTCCATGCCAGCCGTCAACCTTGTCAGGTTGAGTGTAAAGAGTGTCTAAATATTTGTTCCTTTAAATTTTCAGGTCAGGATTTCTTTTACAATAATTACATACTCTTGAATATGTTGTAATTAAGACTATGTATGAAGAAGAGTTGAGTTGATTGAGAACAATTTGTCGTATAAAAGAACTCAGAGGTCGACGCCGCCGATCTCACGCCGCCGCGCCGCCGAACGCCGGTAGTATTTTGGGCGCCGCCGCCGCCGAAAAATTTGATTTCCTATTCCTTCAACATTGGGACGCCGCGCCGCGCCGCGCCGCCGAAAATTCCCCGAAAATTTGTCGGCGTCGACCTCTGAAAGAACTGATTGCCGATAATATTTATGAATATTTTATACGTGTTATGCAGATAAGCTGCCCCATTCATAATTGCGGATAAATAAAACGAGCTGTAATATGTATACATTTTGCACGTACGTATAAATTAAGCAAAAATTTATTTCGAAATGGGCCTGATAAATACTAAGTTTATATATAGTACCTTATACAAATGGTACCTTATAATAAGTCTAGAGTTTAAACTCGACTAGGAATAGAGTAACTACGGAATTTGTGTGCATGGTAACCTAGCAACCAATAATGTTGTCGTAAATCGCAAAAGGTGTCTGCATACGTGTTGCTTATAAACGTTGTCTTGTAAATTTTTGCATCATCATTTCCAGAAAAATTAGTAAACATGAAAGCATTATTAAAATACTTAGTAAAGCAAAGGAATAACTAAATTTGCATGATGGGTTGTCATAGCAACCGTGGTATTTTATTATTTAGCTCAGTCAGCTTAGGGTAGGTTGTTCACCAATTTTTGATTCTTGTATGTACTCTTATAACCTTAATGCACAAGTCAGAACTTGATTCACTAAGGTTACAACATACTCGTGGGAGTAAAGTTGAGTCAGATAACCTGGCTTATCAGGCGTTGGTGATAACGAAACGAATAATAAGCGGACTTGGCACGTGTACATAGGTAGGTTATAGGTTATGCATCCATATTTGTCCTCACATTAAACCAAGGGTTACAGTTTCTTCAGTTTTTGCGATTTCTGCATGCCTCTCGGATAAGTTTGCAGATTTCGAAAGTTTACAAAGTTCAACGGACGAATCTACCTCGGAATTTACTGACGAGCCTACGACGTGTAATCCAACGGGATCGTGTACGACCGGTTGGGATAAAGTAGATATTGGAAGTAATTTTGGCAAGGACGACGTACAATAGCGATAAAATGACCAAAGCTCACCCCGCCCACCCTAGGTTTTAAGGTCACATAGTCATTCCGAACAGTAATGATTATTACTCGTTTTTTGAGTGTACGACATATATAATCAGAATACAATGATACCACGCATGCAACCAAGGAAATACGAGAACTGCAAATATATCGTAGTTTTGTTTACATTTTTATATCTGCATATATATTTACTCCACAAATTAAATAGTGTGACATTATTTATAGTAAATTAGCTTCCGTTCCGTCAACGTCTGAATAGGTCCGTCTCAAAGAATGGATTCAGATTTTGGATCCTGAAATCAAACAAATCAATTAAGTTGACTACAATATAAAATTGATCTACTAATTGATACAAATTGTCATTATGGCCATTATTCGTGGATCTTACATTAAACTTCCGAATATTTCATTTTTTAAAATCCGCCTAGTAGTTTTCGATCTTCGCTAGAAACTTTTTTGGAAATATTTAGTCTAATATTTTTACGCACTAGTACACGCTACATGTTGTACATAAACCGATCAAGCAAAACTTACATAAAACTACCAGAATAACTGCCCTACTTACAACCTTCCTACGTATTTATCGCGACGATTTTATCACAATTAATTGCATGGTTTGCGCTAAACAAAAATTCTGGATGACGAGCGGCGTCCCACGATCGATAAAGTTTGACCCAAACTTGATTTCGAGACAGTTCAACGACCTCATTTCCTTTCTCAAGTATGAACCTGTCCGCCCTCCCATGTGCTCCAGTTTCGTCTCATATCGCTCCAAGAGATCCTTCGACCTTGAATTAATCCAGGACGCCAGGGTAAAGACGAGGACATTGTTGATAAATCCGTCCACCAAGAAGAGGGGAAATATGAGAAATCCTGGTATCGCGATTTGGTCATGCATTGTTATAGACACGTATTGCGCAATAATTTGAACCGTCGGTATAACCGAGACGACAACGGGAGAAATCCTCGCCATGAGGAATGCCTTGGACATTTTTTCCAAAATGTGTACCCCTCGATACGTTCGTATGCAGAGTTTGTGATCGACAAGGTTTTTTGCACGGGCCATTTTGCTAGTAATAGACAGACATAAAGTTAGTTACATACGTAATTATCAGCCTGCATAATATTGGGGGCAGCTTGAGAAAATGAAATTACGCAAAATTTATATTTCAGGTATATTGAGAAACTGAAATTTATTGTCAAAATTCTGTGCGGGTGGGTATCGGCAGAGTGTGCAAGGGAAGAAAGGCATGCCATGCCCAAAATGCCTTTTTGCTTATTAGGCACGTGAATTTTAACTATAGCCATAACCATAAGAATCGTAGCCTTCCTCTGATTGGTTTAGCTAGAATGCCAACAGCCAATCAAAATGCAGGAATGTCACGGAAAATTTCACGGGACGGATTTTTCTAAATTATAATATAGATAATATAGGTGGTTCGTGCAGTGTGGATAAGGAAAAGGCACGTAAACAAGCTATTGGGCATTGAAAAGGGCAAAAAACATGCGAAAAGGCGCCCTTTGCACACTCTAGCTATAGCTCTACCCAATTTTGCGATATATCAAGTTCAGTAACATTTCTAAACTGGTTTTAGCACAATTAAGCACGTCAGGTTCCACGTGCCAAAGTTAGCACCAAATTAAAATAGTACCAGCTACGACGCTACATACTCCCGTACGTTTTTTGAAAACATGCCGAGTTTATAAAAAATCGGCACAAATCTTCTACCTTTATCAGAAAGGGATAAAAACTGTAAAAAATTTGAGCTGGAAAAATACGATTCAATCAGAGTCGATTTATGCACCTTCGTTTTCTCAACCACCGGATTTTATTACCTGTCGATAATTTGTAGATAATTAAGGATACAAGTAATTCCAACGAACATGATGTAGAAAGCCCACATTGCCCCGGAGTACATGGCTTGTGCCGCCATCCAAGTTTCAAACAGGAGGATAAGAATTTCTAGACCCAAATTCAACCATTTGATGCTCTCACATTGCCCCGACATGGAGAGGAGGAACGGCGGGAAGCATGGATCCAAAAGAAGCAGGCAGAAGACGCCGACCGCATAGGCGGTAACTGAATAGTGCAGAATTTGCATGAAGTAGACCATCAGTTTAGACTCGGTTGAAATTTTCAGAGTTTCCTCACCTGTAGAAAAATTAAAAGAAATTTAAAACTTACGATTAGATTTTGTTCAGGTAAATAAGTACAAATATGCATGAAATAGCCACGTGATACATTTTTAATCTCGCTCCACCCCTATGTAAATAGTGTCTCTGTAATTAAAATTTTAAAATGGCAGGAATTTCATCTTTTTTAAAAATACATAGACGCAACTTTTCATAGTTTAATGTAAAGATTTGAAGAAAATTCCCCTACTTGATTTGTTATTTTTAATTTTTCGTAAATTTCCTTAAAAATGAATTCGCTAATTTTGATTAAAATTGATACCACAAAAACACGAAGTTTTGATCAAAGTGTTAAAAACGTCTGAAGACTGATTAAATCGCAGGAATTTAAGAAGTTTTAATTTATTGGGGTAATTTTCTTGGTGCAAAGTGAGACCAAAAATGTATTAAATCACGTGAAGTCATTAACTGAACAAAATTGCTTATTTTGTCTAAAAATACGAAGGAAAAAAATTTTCCTAACCTTTCACCAATTTTTTCTCAAACTTTACGCACGAATTGACCACTTGGATTGGGGCGATATCCAAGTGATAATTCCACTTGGAGAGTAACAAGAGGACATAAATTAAGAAGAAACTGACGCCCTGAAACTTTTTCGGAACGGTGAGCGGTCCGATGCATAAATTCAGAAACATTGCGACCGTGTACTTATACACGAGTGAAATGATGCATTGTATTCGAAAGATTGTTATATCCCTGGGATTCTCGACGGGCACAATTTTCCCCAATTTTGAATCAAACTTGGCCGGAACCGATTTCAAGAGGCGACAAAGACCAAGATGACGAACCAACAGGGGAAAAAATTGGGTCGTGTACATGACGAAATTTACTAAAAAATTAGTAATATGAGTATTTTCTTGACAAGCAAACCATGTACGTAAAGGAAATACTGGAGAATGCGTGTCAAGGCTCAACCATTTATACATAAACGACACTCAGAAATAATGTTAACTCTTTTCAAACTTAGATTTGGTCTACGTTAATTAAGTACGTGTAAAAAATATGTTTCTCAAAATTGCTCAAAACTAGATATGTTTCTTCGGTATTCTGCTAAAAGATAATGTGTTTGATAGTTTTGTTCTAAAAACTTGGAATTTTTGCTATACCAGCCTATATTAAAAAAGTGGATTTTTCGTGTTTCTCGTCAAAAAAATTCAGGAGTTAGAAACGGGTTAAAAAATATGTCATATTACATAGGAAATCATACAAACTTAATTTGTACTACTAGGTGTAGACAGGAGAGCATTTTTAAAATATAAATTATTGCCAAAAAAGGTTACTATACTTATTATTTACAGTGCAGTTATTTTACGAAAGAGTTATTTTATATACATTTAGTTACATTATTTTTAAGAGTGCAAATATGACATCCGGTAGTATGTCCACTAAATTCGCATTTCCACCGAAATTGTAAAGATTACTATCAATTCGTCAGGAAAGGACGGGCACGAATTAAAGTCGTTGTTCACGACGCAATCTGCCCAATAATGACATCCAGCGCGTGCATGAGACAGCCACAATTTTGATATTACATGAACAATAACAATAATTAATGCATACCTTATTTCACGCCAATTAACACGTCCTGCTTAACTTTGTATTTGATAGTTTACTAGAGAAATGGAGAGGCGTATTTACAACCATAATTAAACTGTGTGGCGTTATCTCGGATTAAATCAGATGTGCCGGAAGACGAACTACCAATAATACTTATCCAATTATTTCGACAGTTACTTGTTTTTCACTCGAATGTCGAGTTTCTTATGGCTAATTAGGAAAGCATATTTACAAAACATCGTTTACATAAAGTAGTTAACCGCAGTATTAAAATGTATGACTTATATATTCCGTATTGATTTGGTAATGATGTCCTACCGGGTTGGTAATAAATAAAGTGCGGCAAAGCACGATACATAAGTAGCGCAAGCATGCGACCACACCCCCTGGCGCCAAGGGGGTGTGGTCCAAAAGTTTACGGGATCCTCCCCCTGGGGTCATGTGTATGATGCCGCAAACCGATTTTGATTATCTTGATGCGTTCTCGAGTTATAGTGTTGACAGACGGACGGACAGACAGACAGACTAACTAACCGATCGCACAAAGCAGCTTGCACTACTTAATAAGTAGTTTCTTTTTGAGTGGGGGTTTTCCATTGCTAAAATATTACCACATGAATAGTTATGTATACGGTAATATTTGTTTAGTACTGGGCTTGTAGAGTCATACTTATATTTACTCCGGTGAGTAATGAGGACGGATCAGTTTTATATGAAACAGTGTTATTTGTACAGAAATATGTACATAGTAAACATTTTGCATAGTTTTACTTTAATTAGCAACTAGCGAATATCGAACTAAACAAAGAATAAAATTGCAATACATTTATATAATAATCTTGTTAATAGAGAGGTTGAGCAAGAGTACATGATTGCACTTTGCGATTGTAAGACAGCGGGAAAATTAAATATTAGTCAGAATTTTAGCCAAACACAGAAATTCAAATCTCTGACTCTAACCAGCATTGTACTGTATGAATCTACCCAACTAAGGCAATTTCAAATCTGCCGCCAGAAATTAATCAGAATTACAATCCTTACCATACAATATTCTTGATTAGCTAATTAATAGGCATTTTAAAACTAATTGCCAATTTCTAATTGAAAATAATTGGTTTCAATTGAATCTAATTGACTAATTGAGAACTAATTGAGACTTTTTAAATCAAGTGCCAATTCTAATTACCGTAAAAACTCAAATAGTAGCCGCTGTTCAAATAGTGACCTTGCTCAAATAGTAGCCTTATGCTCAACCATGTTGTAGCCGGGTCGCAGCCACCAATTTTGTAAATAGTAGCCCCCGGCTACTATTTGCGTTTTTACGGTAATTAGATTTCCAAATAATTGTTAATTAATTAAAAAACATAAAGGACACCGCACGGTCGACATAACACAATCTCCCTAAGAGATTGTTTCGCCATTTTTTGATATGTTGTAGATCTTTAGTAGTAGAACAATAGTTAAATTACCCTTTAGGTCGAAATCGACCTTTTTGACCTTGTTTAGGGCGGCAGGTCAAAGTGACGGAGCCCCACAAGTGGAGTGTCGTCGGAAAGGTCTCAACGAGAGGATTCATAAAATATATACTTTGTGGGGTCATCTACTGCCATATTGGCTCCCAATCTACTGCTGTGTTAAATTCTGAACAACTGAAAACTCCCTTCTTCTCTCGACCTTTATATTTTATTAAAGTTTACTCAATTTTGCGTAAATTTACCACTAACACAACTACTGTGTAAAATTTGCCCATGAAAAGTTACAATTTCTCCAACTTTAAAGTATTTTTGCTTATGGTTTACCATAAGTAAATTTGACACAATAGTTTTCTTACAATTAGTCGGAATTTTGCTCGACTTTATTCACAGTATGTGAATAATTTGAGTAATACCGTTAAAATATTTTATTTTAAGTCTGCACATTTGCTTACATCTTGACACCAAAAACTAAATATTTTTCATGTATAACTTTTATGCAAATTTCACGTACAATGAAATTAATGTGTTTCTAACTAATTGTGGAGTACAGAAAATCCTCCTCAAGTTTCGACATCCGTCTGACGGATCCTGTTCCCTCCGGAGGATCGGGCTGTTTTGAATTTTCTGTTTCAACCTTCACGTCTGCCCCCGTCTCCCCCTTTCTCCCATCTTTTTCGGTATGCGTGCCCTGCTTGTCTCCAGGTTTGACAACAGGTTGAGATGACGCCTCGCTCCTGTCCATCAATTAACTGATTAATAAGTTTCTCAGCCAAATTCTGTAATTATATAACAACAAAAACCTACGTCTGTCCTAAATAACCTGAGGCACAAGTAGATATAGTTTGAAAATTACTGTAGCTTCAGAATAAATAAGTAAGAAGTTTTCCACACAAATGTGAAAAAGATGTTTTCGAGCCTACACGATTATGGGATCTTATCCGTATTAAAACAACTTTTTAGCAATCCGTGAAGTACGGTTTGATAAACAGTTGCAAGTAAATATTTACGTAAATTTTGTGGACACAGTATATGTCAACAGATTTTGGTATGTGTATGCAAACATTGTGAGTGAACTGAATTCAGAATTTAATTACGCACAAGCCAAGCATAACTTTATTGTGCTTGGGTGGGGGAGATTGTGTAGTTTGAAGTTAAATATGCATGTAACACGGATGTGAATGTATAAATAGTTCGACAACAAAGTGAGAGTCACCTCAATGGGACGAGAATAACTATTTTCTCGTTAAGTGAAGAACGGGTTATTTCCACACGATCAATCCAACACCAACTCAGGAGGGGAGCTTCACCACTTGCCACTCACAGAATCCGATGCCCTTTGGATATATTGTAGTACCCCGTGAGTGTACTAAAACCCTGAAACGGTTTGACTCCATGGCCACATTTGCGCCCGCCACACCCACTCAAAGGTGCGAAAAATCATCACGTTCAAAAAGTCACCAAAAATCCAATTTTGATCGGATTTCCGCAATTTAAGCATTTTCGTGATCCCAGATAGTTGTTTGACAATATCCGACACCAAAATGATTTTTTTTAATTTTTTGGATATTTTAGAAAATTTTCTGACTACAGGTTTGTCTTCGAAAAAATCAAAATTTCAAAAAAGTTGAGTTTGGTATTGGACATCATAAAGCAAGTATCTGAGATGAAGAATATGTAATTTTTTTGAAAATCCGATCAAAATTGGATTTTTGGCGGATTTTTTAATGAACCAAAACAGGGTATTTTTCGTGTTTTTTGCGCCTTTGAGTGGGTGTGGCGGGCGCAAATGTGGCCATGGAGTCAAACCGTTTCAGGGTTTCAGTACACTCATGGGGTACTACAACATATCCAAAGGGCATCGGATTCTGTGAGTGGCAAGTGGTGAAGCTCCCCTCCTCAGGTTTATGGCATTCATAAGTTTCATAGATTTGCTAAATACATGTTGAGCTTTTTGAACTCATTGGATTTTCAACTAGGACTCGTTTTATTCAAATAAAATCAGAAGAAGCGAGTGGATAAGAATTGGAGAATTATAGTGACTACAAAACCTATGATAATTGTAAGCAGACGTAATTGTTGTCACGTAATAGACAATAAATAATTATGCATAATTGTTTTGATTAAACTGGTTCATCTTATCCCAATTAATTTATGCGATATGGTTTTTCCAAAAGAAATTAAGCGAATGCCATGCGTAAAAAACAAATGATAAATGTAACTACAAATTCGTGCGCTTCAAATTGTATGTTGTACCTAAATATTACGGGATTAATTTCGAAATTATTTTTCGGAACTTGCAATATTGGTCACCGAGAGTTATCTGTATTAAATCAAATTTTTCCAATTTATTTGTTTACCCCAGATTGTTTATTACACGTGTCTTCGAAAATAAATTAATATCGATTTTTTTCATGGCCTCATTTAACGGGTTGTATATAATGGCGACCCAGAGTGACTGAATGAGCTAGCCTAAAAACTATTCTATAAGCGCTAGTGAATGCCATCCTAAGTGGTAAAAAATAATAGCTAAATTTGTACACCAAAATTCTGGCCGTGTAACAAATAAAACCGACACTCGACCAAATTTGTGAAACTATTCTTAACTCCGGCATTCACCAACGTTACGGAGATCACCATGCCATCTCAAACGAATCTCTATCAATTTAGTTCCATGGTACGATCCCACATCATCAGTTCTATCGCCCATCTCCGTTCCAGCTACATATTCAAAGTCAGCGACGTTTTGTGTCTCGTAACTTGGTCACACATTCTGCACTTACTCGTCACCAGAAACCCCTCGACAGGAGTATCAACCCACACAAAGTACCACCCATTCCAAAATTTCGTACATAAGGCCGCCCTGGTGAACGTAGTTGTGCATTTATTCACGTACTTTGTCCACTGGCACACTTTCCATGGTGTCGAAGGGGAGGAGTGGAGGTTGGTCATGCTGTGCTATTTTATTGGGATGGGACTCCTTATCTTTTTTGGGTCTTTGGTCCTCTACTGGAGAGAAGAAGAAACAGCGGCACTAATGAAGATTAATTGTCGGGTGGAACTACTATGTCAACGAGAAGGTAAATAATTTTTCAAGAAAATAACTTTATAGTAGACGATACCTAAATTGTACAATCTGTAAATTAACTAATCGTGAAAATTTTGAGATTTGAAACAACCTTGGACAGAGTTCTATGATAGTCCACTTGCAAGTTGTTTTTTGTCGATGTAGGAATTCCGGACTTGTTAAAACACACAAAGTATGAAATTTATCTGATCTGTAATGACACAATAATGTACTTTAGTATGGAAATATGCATGTCATGAGATACAGTGTCGGACAGATGTCTACGTCCACATAGTCGCGTCAATTTCATTTTCAAATTGTCACTGAACTACTGAACCAATTTTCATCATTGATATATCAAATTCTCACAAATTTAACGTAATTTCATAAAACATATGAGTTATTTCTGAAAATTCTGGGAAAACTGAGAATCATAGTGCAGAGCGAGAGAGGATGAAATTTGAGCGGACAAAAGTCTACGTCCACTTCACTTTAATTGTCAACAACAAAAATCTCTCCAATTTATAGAATCAGGTAACTTAATAAATCTATCAATAACATATGCCGCATTAATTTTTAAATAATTTTCTTCCAGAAAAATATGATGGCGTCGACACGCAAGGAAATTCCTATCGCTATTCGAGATCTTGTCATTCAGGACTGGAAGGGTGGACAAAAAGGGGGGCTGTCGCAGAGACAAATAGGGACCAAGTATAAATTAGCAAGGACAACCATCCAGACAATCATTAAGAACTTTAGAGCTAATGGTTCAGTCCAAAACAAGGTCAGAAGTGGTCGAAAACCCATTTTGGCTCACCGAGAAGTACGCCACGTGCTCAACAAAGTCAACGTTACACCCTCACTTAGTGCTCCAAAGCTATCTACCGAGATCAAGGAGATGTTCGACAAACAAGTTAGTCCTAGGACCATCCAAAGAACACTGAACAAGGGAAATTTGAAATCCCACAGAGCAGTCCGGAAGCCTCTTATTGTACCGAGGAATGCAACCAAACGAGTGAAGTTTGCCAGAGACCACATTTCCAAGCCACAAACATTCTGGGACATATTTTATGGACTGACGAGTCAAAGTTCAATGTCTTTGGGTCAGATGGGCGTCGTAGAGTGTGGAGATATCCAAAAGAAGCATTGAATCCAAAAAATCTCAACCCCACATTTAAGCACGGCGGCGGGTCGGTAATGGTGTGGGGATGCATGGCTTCAGGTGGGGCAGGAAAAATGGAATTTGTTGACGGAATTATGGACCAATACAAGTACCAGGGAATACTTGACGGCAATATCCAGGAATCTGTTCGAAAACTTGGACTTGGACGACGATTTGTCTTCCAACAAGACAACGATCCGAAACACTCTGCCACGTCCACCATGGAATACTTCAAGAAAAAAAAATTTCGAAGCTAGAATGGCCTCCCCAATCTCCAGACTTGAATCCCATTGAGCATCTGTGGGACCACATTGAAAGAGAAATAAGAAAACAATCTTTTTCAGGAATTCCGGGCCTTAAATCCAGAATTCGTGAAGTTTGGGAAACCATTTCTGAAGATGTGACCAAGAATTTGGTAAACTCTATGACTCGACGCCTTGAAGCCGTCCTTAAAGCGAACGGAGGCCCAACCAAATATTAAAAATTAATTGTTATAACATTCCTTATAAATTACAGTTTTTTTTGTATGTTTTCTCTTACTGGACGTTGACTTTTGTCCATCCAATTGTTTTCATTTTGAATTAAAATACATCTCTGGCCTAAAATAAATTTTTTAGCGGAAAACTAATAATGTGGTATGAAATTACGTTAAATTTGTGAGAATTTGATATATCAATGATGAAAATTGGTTCAGTAGTTCAGTGACAATTTGAAAATGAAATTGACGCGACTATGTGGACGTAGACATCTGTCAGACACTGTATGTGTAACAGGTGTCTGACAATAAAAGTGTCATATTTTTGAACGTCCCACTCAACTAGTGTTCCGTAAAAAGTCGGATGTCTTTGTGCCAAGCTTAAAATAGAAGGGTCCCTTCCTTAAGGACCTTTCTTAAGGATATTTCCTTAGAAGGGTCCTTTCCTTCTACAAGTAAAGGTATGGAGCTCACCCTTTCACGGTTTGCTACATTACAATGCGATGGTGTGAAGTGCAACTCTCCGATTTTTTTGAAATTTTAAAATTGAGTGGTCCAAGTTCATACAACCAACGTTTCCTGAGGCAGTTTGTGCGATGGTCGGGATTTGTCAAAATATTTGAGGTCGAAGTTGATAGAATGACGATTTTTCCCTTTGAAATGAATGCAGGTTGCTACCTCCGCTCTAATCAAAATTGACCATTTTATCAACTTTGACCTCAAATATATTGAGAAATCCCGACCATCGCACAAACTGCCTCAGGAAACGTTGGTTGTATGGACTTGGACCACTCAATTTTAAAATTTCAAAAAAATCGGAGAGTTACACTTCACACCGTCACATTGTTAGTCACTCTCCATCCCTTCTCGCTGTCGTAAAAAAATTGTGGGACGGGGCAATACCAAGGCGGAATTTCTTTTTAGCTCTGCACAAAGTGATCTGAATAATACGGTACACTATTTACATAAATAACGATCCACTTTGTGCACTCTTAAAAATAATGCAACCCGTATGAAAACTAACTTCACTCTGGGTTCTACATTAAGTAAGGTATACTTAATCCAGTGTAACGTTAACCCAATAAAGAGTACAGTTTACACAGGATTTAGTAACAAAGGGTTCAAAGTGCGTTCAACTTTTCAAAAACGGCAACATTTTTTAAGAGTGTGCCCACTGCGACTACAAAACTAAATTCTAAACCTAAACTCTTTTAAGGTCAGTCAAAGTGAGACGGTTGTCAAAACCTTCCACTTCGTGCTTAGCTGCTCCTCCCTGTAAACATGTCAAATAATTGAGGCAATTTCAATTATAAGCAGTTTCAGATAAGAAGACGATTCAGGGATTG